CCGGAGGCGGAGACGCAGCAGAGCAGCGCGTGCTCAGAGCGTGCGGGGCGGGCCGTGAGTGCCCCGCACCAAGGGGGGCGGCCCCGGCGCGCAGCAGGACTTCCGAACTCGAGGAGGACGCCAGATAACTTTTCTAGGTTTTCGACGGGAGGCGGGGGGAAGGGGGAGGAGAGGGCCGGGATCCTGAGCCTGACCCGCAGAGGCCGTCCGTTCCACGTGACCCAAACTCCCGACTCGCTCCAGAAAGCGCGCCCCAACCCCGGCACCCTCTCACTGATCGGCCTGGGATTGGCGCTCCCCGGAGACTGCCGTCCCGAGCCGAGCTGGGAGCCCCTGGACCTCCCCCCCCGCCCCCGCCCCCGCAGGCCCAGGCGCCTCCGCGGGTCTCTGGCCTGGGAATGCCTGGACCCGTCAGGGGTCTCCGCGCGGTTTCCTCACAGCCCCCCTCCCCCACACCTCATGGCTCCTCCTTTGCTCTTTCCAGTACCTTCCGTAGTTAAACTGGGTCTCTGCTTTGGAGGCCCCAGCCGTGTCCGCCCTTAGGTCGGTCTCCACCGAGGACTGGAGAGGCCGACGAGGGGCAGGACCATTGGATTCGAGTCGTGACACCTGTCCGAGCCCCTCTACATCCCCACCCCCACCCCAGGCAGGCGTAGGCTCCACTTAGGAGACCTGAGGCCGTGCCTGACCACTTCTGATCAGCGGACCTGATGCAGAAAGCAAGGTGTGCGCTCCCTGTCGCTGCGGGGAAACCGCAAGTCCCTGCCGGTTTCTCAGTCAGGCAAGGACCCCGCCCGGTGCCACTCGGGGAGCCCAAGGACACACGCTGGAGGGGAAGGGGCTGGCTGGCTGATGCCGCTCCCCAGGCGGTCCGCGGCCCCCTTCTAGGGGCGTCTCCCTACCCACCCAAGACCCAGCCTGGGTTCTTCCACCCTGGGCCGCACGTTCCTTCTGGGCCAGGCATGCAGGGCTGGAGTGTCAGCCACAGAGGTCCATGGTGCCGCCCGTCGGGCTTAGTCCTTCCGCTAATCTTGGGCGCCAGGCTTTCAGATACGTATTTACAGACATGGCCCCGCATTAGGCCTCACTCCTCCTCCCTTTCCGAGAGCCAGCTCCACGGCCCTTGGGAACGGCGCGGCCACGTCCAGCTCAAGGTCCCCCGGTACGACCAGATTTTATGCCTGCCCCCGGATCTAGTGAGCGCAGCCCAGCAAGAAGGGCTGCTTCCTCCCGCCAGCAGCCGTGTAGGAGGGCCCCAGGCCCCCGAGACCCACAATCTGGCATTACCTAACTCTCCAACCATGCCTCCTCAGGGGCTTTATTTCATTTCCTGGATGACACTGACTTCAGTTCCTTTCCTTTCATTAGCCGGCCTGCAGCCCCCACGGCCCCCTCTTGCCTGGGCTGTGGGCTTTTGCAGGAAGGGCTAAAACGAGGTGATATCCAGTGCCTGGGTATTTTCCCAAGGGAGTGGTCAGGGGAGGCCCCACTGAGAAGGTGACATTTAGGGTGGGAGGCTGCCACCGGAGGTGAGGCGTTCTAGGCAGGGGAAGGAGCCGGGAAAAAGTCACCAGGTAGATTGGTTTGGCATGGTTAGGAACCCAAGCCAGGGGTGTGTCCCTCCTGTGTAAGGGAAGAGAATGGCAGACAGGTCCCAGGGCAGTGTGGCCTGGAGGCACCCTACCCATGACTCTATTCCCCCATGGCGAGACGGACTCATCCTTTAGGCCCAGTGTTGGGGTGGGGGAGAAGCTTGATCCCCTCTGATCCTCAGTCTGAACAGTGGCCCAGAGCAGCTCAGCCTGAGTCTTGCAGTGGCCTTGTCTCTGTCTGGCCCACCACCTAACCTCCAAGCCTGGCTCCACACCCCAAAGAAAATAAACTAAAGGGAACTTCAGGAAACCATTGTCAAGGATAATTTTGGAAGAGAGGAAGGGATAAATGAGGGAGCGGTTACAACACACGAGACAGCAATAAAATCAGAAGACCTTCTGGCCACCCCTGCTTGTCTCATCTCCCAGAACCTCTTGACTCAAGGTCTGTTCTGTGCTCCCAACTCTCATCTCAACCCTGGATGCAGCCTCCTCCCTGACACCCCGCTCCCAGCTGACACCCCCCCAAAGCAGCCAAACAACAAATAACACACCTAAGGGCCATCACCTGGGGAGGGTGACTCAGGTTGTCCCACTCCAGTCCCATTTCAAAGATGAGGAAACCGAGAGGCTGGTCATTTCCCCAGTGGTGGCAGTGCTGGTGGATAGTGGGTCTCCTGACTCAGGCACCAAGCTTTCCCGCTGGTGGAGTGTGCATGTTTTACCCTGGAGAGTGGGGAGATGGGCAGTGGGCACCAGGGAGATTGGGGAGCTCCCTGCAGCCCTAGGAAGGGAAGGAAAACAAATGTCATAAGGAGGCCTTGGATCATGGGGACAGGGTCTGGTTGCCAGCTCCCTGCCACTCTGGCCTCTACTTGCTCTTTTGGTTCCTGGGTCCTGACAAGACCTATTCTCCCCAGCCTGGCTGCCTGGCTGCTTGATAAGATGTCATTGGTGGCAGCAAGGGGGCCGGGGATCCCCTTGTTATGACGCTGGTCATGGGACGCTGACTCACTGCTGGCC